GGAAAGACAAAAAGGCAGGATGGTGAGCCCATTGCACACAAACTAACCAAGTCTCCACATTAACCTCATTTCTTCCTTACCGAACGTTCTTCAATTCTTCATGTACATTTAGACATTGTTTTCTCTCTCTGCATCTCAAACAGCAACACACACACACACACACACATACACACACACACACACACACACACACACGATACAGACATACAAACATTCACAGACACACATGTGCACATGCGTGCACACAGATACAGACACTCAAAAATACAGACACACACATGTGAACACACACAGAGATGCATATAAACACAGACACACATGCGCACATGTGCACACATACAGAAACACACACACACATACACAGATACACACATATAGACACAGACACACATGCATGTACTCACACACAGATACACACAAAAATACACACACAAGTGCAAACACACACACACACACACACAGAGAGAGAGAGAGAGAGAGAGAGAGAGAGAGAGAGAGAGAGAGTTAAATATACACACTAGGCAACCAGAGTCGCAACCATCAAAGTAAAACATCTGGATGCATGCATCCAATGGTGCAGGCTTTTCACTGCACAAAGACACCCAGCCAAAAGGAAGGGGCAGGAATTTTACCTGCACTCTCTTGCTCAAGATACACATCTGGCAACAGTGTCATCCCATCCAGAGAAGGGTCACTTTTTCTCTAATTTTTAACATAAAGGGCTCACCCCATTCAGACTAAAGAAGCACTTGGGTTGTGGCTCAGGGTTTCCCTTTCTCTTCTCCCTCGTCTTGGGATTCCTGTCTTCTCCCTACCCCTCTGCTCTGTCCACTCCAACCTGAAACTCAGGGTGCTGGCTGAACTACATAAGTGGGAGGGGTGATGCCCGAGTACGCGTACTGAGAGTTCATTGAGTTGGGCTACCAGTTCTGCCACTTGTCCTCTAGCTTGGCGCAGCTCCTGGGACTCCTTGGCCAGCTTGTCCTTCATCTTGTTCAGGGTCCTCATCATCTCTTCCTTCTCCAGCGTCTTTGTCTCACATTCTCGCTCCTTTCTCTCCAGCCGGCTCACGAGCTCCATGTGTTCTGGAGGGGATGGGACCACAGAGAAAGTGAGAGGAGAGAGGGGCCCAGGCATGAGGAAGGGGATGGGATTCCAGCAGGATAGGAACAGGGTGCAGGGAGTGGGTGTAGCTAGTTTAGGTGGACCCTCTCACCCTTCCGGAACTTCTCTGCTTGGTCCCGCCACTGCTTTACTTCGTTCTCATTGACGAGCCTGTTGAGAAGCGGAAGGGACCATGTGATGTTGACATTATCTCACCGCTTCCCGGAATACGGGCATCTCTATTCCCCAGAGAGACCGCTGACCTGTGCACACACAGGCTTCTCACCTGCCTCTCCAGGTCCCCATTCCTGCCCATTCTCACTCTGTGTCCTCATGGACTATGAGAATGCGAAGGACCACAAGTTATCTTCTAATCCAACTGCCAGTGTGACTGAGAGGTAAGGTAGATAGAGGACTGAATCCAGGCTATCTGCAGTACACACACACACACACACACACACACACACACACACACACACACACGCCAGACTAATGTGTAAGGGCATGGGGAGGTGTCCATCTGACAACAGGAGTGATGCAGCATGATTATGGGTACATCTGAGCCACAGGACAGCCTCATTCATAGCAAACTCTTCTAAAAGGGGTTAAAATTAGCTTTTCCTCAGACTCTAAAGTTATGAAGGACTGAATCCCATCATGACAGCCCAGTAATCATTACACTTTTACATCTGTTTATTAATCTACTCCATGCCACTGCACATGGAATCAGAGAGGACCACCTTGAGGGTTAGTTCTCTCCTTCAGCATGTGGGTTCCAGGGACTGAACATCAGGCTTCACAGCAAGCGTCTACACGTGATGAACAATCTTGCCGGCCCATGGTGAGATTTCTTTGGAGGGCCACTGTGGTGGTCGTTGGGGTGCTACATCCTTTACTACCCAAAGAGGTGTTCCTTGGGCATGGACAGAGTCTTGATTGTGTTCCCTGATTTGGGGAAGGGTACAGGGTAGAGTGGGTTCTACTTGGGGCCAAGCAAATGAAGATGGTAAAGAAGGGTTAATCAACCCAGACAGCGTGGCGGTGTTGTAACCTGTTGGCACCCCAAGAGTTTGCTGACACAGCCTGTGTGAGTGAAGCAGATGCCAGCTGGGGCCCTTGTGATTGAATTGGGATGACACCATCTGTCTATGAATCTCAGAGGACCATTTGTGAGACAACTAGAAGCATCAAACTCTAGGCCAGTATTGCTGGAGAAGCAATTGTTGATGGGAGGACCAAAAGCAGACACTCAGCCAGTTTCATGGTCCGTGAGTTGGGAAAGGCTCTTAGCAAGGAGATCTAGAAGACCTCAGTGTACTCATTTGCAGAGCCAGAGAGCAGGAGGTCAATTACTACACAGCCCACCCATTAAGACCTTTCCCCTTCCTCCCTCTTGTCCCCAGCTGCATCATGAAGGGTGTCAGAAACTTGAGTTAGCCAGTAGATCTGGGACACAGAAAGCCTCCTAGGAGCACCTAAATAGAGATAAGAAGAGTAAAAGCCAGTCACACCACATATATGCACAGGCCTGCAGATGTATCCATCTAGCATCAATACCACCACCCCATTCCTATTCTGACCTCTGGGCCCTTAGAGGAGAGATGTCTAAGGCTAAACCAGGTCTCATCTCAGGATCAACCCCCTATTTGCAGTAACTTCAAGTTATTTTAAAGACTTCTGCAGCCCAAGAAGACACAGAGGCTTCACTGGACCTGAGGAATCATCGTGTCTGCAGAGGAAATATTTCCCCACTAAATAATATGAAAATTTGCAGAAAACCACCTTATGATTGTTTTACCAGCTGTACTTGAGCAACAAGCCAGTTAGGGGCTGAAGGAAATCAACTTGATCATTTGAGCAAATAAAATGAGAATTGTTTAAAATCCACTTTGCATTTTGTCCCCTGAAGGACAATTAGCTCAAACTCATATCAAAATTAAATAAAAACCAGAGCATTAAAGTAGGTCTTATTAGTTCACCAATGTAAACATAATTGGTTTCTGTGTGTCCTATACACTGTAAAAGGTCTAGGGCTCTGAGAACCTCATACAATAGGTTTATGTTCAAAGGCCCCATGTCAGTGACCACCAAACCTGTAAAGAGCCAGCCCTAATAAGAGACCCCATCTCAAAGGAGATGGACAATGTACCTGTGGACAGTATCCCAGGTTGTCTGTTGGCTTTCACAAGCACATCCTACATGTGCATGCACACACATGGGTGTGCACATGACACATGAATACACTCTCCAAAACAAAAATAAATAAATAAATAAATAAATGAAAAAACAAATAAAACAATTCTCAGCTCTAACTGGAGGACTGGGCTGGCTCATGACTTATAGTTTACTGGCCAGTGCACTTCATAAATGCTCTTAGCCCTTCTGGCTAAGCATTGCAGAGGATCATGGAGAACAGAGAGTTGAGAGCATAACCCATACTCATACTCATACTGTCTAGCACAGTTATCAGTAGGCTTACAACATGGCTATTCACATTGAAATGAGACAAAATAAAGAATCCAGTCTCTAATTACACTTGCCATAAATGCCCAATACTCATAGGCCAAATAACAGCCACTGCATGGTTAATCTTGACAGGATCTAGTGTCACCAAAGAGGCAAACCTCTGGGCATATATGTGAGGAATTTCCCAGGTTGGGTTCACTGAGGAAAGAAGAACCCCCCATTACCATTCAGTGGGCTAGGGACGTGGGCCACATCTGGGGAAAGCCAACTGATGTCTCTCTGCACTCTCAGCAGCAGCAGCCTTAAGATCTTGCAGCCAGGTGATTATACACTCAGCTATGTACCAAAAGAAACGCAGCCTTCTTCCCTCCCTCCCTCCTTCCTTCCTTCCTTCCTTCCTTCCTTCCTTCCTTCTTCCTCCTTCTTCCTTTCCCTTCCTTCTCCCTCCCCCTTCTCTTCCTTCTTTCCTTCCTTTCTTCCTTCCTTTACATTGTCCAAGTATTTTGCCACACAAACAAGAAAAGTAACTAATCCAGCTGCCACACTGGACAGGGTCTTCTATATACTATGGAAAAGAGTTTCTGAAGTCTCACATGGGCTGGAGAGGGAGCAGAAGTTTGGCTAGGCAAGCCCAGAGGGAGAGAAGTAGGGCTGGCAGAGGCCAGCTGTAACTCACATGTTGACAATGTTCTTGACATTGAAGTTTTCCAGTGGGGCCAGGTCAGGGTCCATGCCCCGCTCATCCTGGAGAACGATCTGCTGAAGGATTCTATCCAGGAGCTGCCACTGCTGGAAGTAGCCACCATTCCGCTTGTCTGTGGGACAGAAGGCATTGCATCTGTCCTAAGCCCTGGAACTCCTGGAGTCCTTGTTCTGCCATGACTGCCTAGGCCCAGACCAGTAAGGCAAGCCCTTCCCCCTCTCAGGAAGCTCTTGGTCTGATGGAAGTGGCAGGGGTGCCACTAATCATGGAGAGTCGTGATCCAGTCAACACCTCATTATCTGCAGATGACCTTTCATGGCCTGGCCAACCCTCTTAACATTTTTCTACAGTGCAGAACGCTTCATCTTTCCTGTTGAGATCCTGGGCACACTGTGCCCTGGGGGCCCTGGGCGTACTGTGCCCTGGGGACCCTAGGCGTACTGTGACATGGGCATGCGATGGCTTTTTCTACTGTCTATAATAAAAAGGACCTGTTTGAAAATATTACATGCTCAAAAATGAAGTCCCCAGGGAGACTTGATTATTATCTTTGTTTTGACTTTACAGAAAAAGATGAATGGAAGCTGCTCCAGGAATGTACTGGGAGTATAGAATCAGTTAAAGAAGGGCTGCACAGAACCTAGGGAGGCTTCTTGGTGGACCTTGGTGACCTTGAACTATGAAGGGAAGGCTTCTTGTCCTCTCATCCCCATTGATGACAGTCCACCTGGATATTCACTCCCTTCTTATCCAACAGCCACTAACTACCTCTCCTTCCTCAGTCGCTTCATCTTTAATGGCCACTAGGAAAAATTACTTTAATCCTGACACCAGACACTTGTGTCTTCAAAGCCCATTTAGAGACAGAAGAGAGGGGCCCATTCACATTGCTATGGATCACCAAACAGAAGACCTCTGGGAGCAGAGGAAATCAGACCCCAGCAACTGCCATGAAGATCTGGGCTGAATTGGGGATTTAAAAAATTCTCTCTCTCTCTCTCTCTCTCTCTCTCTCTCTCTCTCTCTCTCTCTCTCTCTCTGTCTCTCTCTGTGTGTGTGTGTGTGTGTGTTATGTATGTCTGTGTGTATGTGTCCCTAAAGACAAGAAGAAGTTGTCAGATCCCATGGAGATGGAGTTAAGAGTATTTGTGAGAAACCAAATATGTGTTCTGGAAACCTGAACTCAAGAAGCAAGTGTTTTTGATTGTGAGCCATTTGTCCAGCCCTTGGACTGAGTATGGAGCACTGTATGTTCCTGGTGCAGCTCATTGTCTTTGTCTTTCCCTCATCATTCTGCCCACACCATGCTGTTACCTTGTCAGTTTGCTGTTTCTTGGAATGCAGTGTAATGTGGGCCACAGCTCACACTACATGCTTCATCTAAAGCCTGACCCCAAACCAAGAGAAGCAATATCTTTATGTGAAGAACTCACTCAAAAGTGATAGCTAGCAGGTTGTCCTGAGTTCAGGGATAATGTGCTGAGACCCTCTCATCAGACATGCCCCAAGCTGTAGTTGTCACCACCTCCATGACTTTGGTGATCCTGATTAGGCTGATAGTTACAGAGGACCAGAGAGATTTTCAAAATATTCTAATTTTGGAAAGCTGGATACAGTTTAGACTCATGTTCCATTACATTCTAGGGCAATGATGAATAATCTTGAATAATTTATTCTTATATTATTATCCTGAAACACATGGATCTTGAGAACTCAGCCACCTGCTCCCAAGATGCCATTTGTTGTCTATAAAGAGGGTGGGAGTAAAACTCAAAAGCAAAGCAAACATGAGGCTGGTGAGATGGTCCAGAATGGTAAAGTGTTGGCCACACATTCATTAGGACCCAAGTTCCATCCCTAGCATGGGACTCATGGACTCTGGACCAACAGCTAGGGAGCCTGCATGGGACCCACCTAGGCCCTCTGTGTAGCTTGTCTGTTTGTGGGGCAGTGGGACCAGGATCCATCCCTGATTCATGATCTGACGTTTTAGAGTCCATTTCCTATGGTGGGTTGCCTCACTCAACCTTGATGCAGGAGGAGGAACTTGGCCCTGCCTCAACTTGATGTGCCAGGCTCTGTAGACTCCCAGAGAGCCCAATTTGCCCTTTCTAAGGAGTGTATGGGGCATGGGGTAGGAGGAGTGGAGGGTGAGGGAACTGTGGTTGGTATGTAAAATTAATAAAAACTTAAAATACTAAAAGAAAGAAAAACCCTGAATCTGTATAAAGGGGCAGGGGAGGCAGAAGTGAGAGGAGCCCCGAGGCTCACTGGCCAGCCAGCCTAACTGAATCTGTGGTCTCCAGGTTCAGTGAGAAACTTTTGTCTCAAAAAATAAGGGGGAGGGGTGGCTGAAGGAGACACGTGATAATGACTTCTGGCACACATGCACAAGTGAACACACACATGCATGCACACACACTCATGTACTCACGCACATACACATCCATACACAATCACACACTATAGTCAAAGCAAGCAAAGCAACATGAGCATTGTATATCTGTTCTGTTTCCCTAAACATGAACCTTTCTTTTGCAAATGACAAGAAGACTCAATGTCCTCACCATGCTGCTTGTTGGACTACAAGTTTGGAGTTATTTCAACCCTGTACTTAGCTCCACCCCCAGGATGACAGAAGGCAACCCAAGGAGGGGGGAACCTGAGTCACTAGGCCTGCCTCCTGAAGACACAGAGGGAACTGTGTCAGACTAGCAGGTCCAGCAAGCTCTCAAACACAGAGTCACATCCACCTGGTGGCTCAAGACCAAGTGGCGAGACAGTGGTGGTGAGAGCAGGGTACTCACATGGCATCTGCAGGCAGTGATGCAGCACAGAGAGTAGGCAAGGGTAGGCCTCCGTGTACTTCAGCTTCTTGTGGATCAGCTCAAACATCTGGGAGGCACTTTTCGTGTCGATGTGGACCTGGAGAGTTTAGGCCGCAGTGAAGGGCAGAGCCAGACATCCAGGAAGAAACAAAGGGCTGGAAGATACTATTTCCGTCCTCCCAGCTCCATCTATCTCTGGGGAAAAGTTCCCCTTTCCTGACGATCATCCAGGAACAGAGGATGAAAGCAGGGATGGCGGTAGGAATTATACAGCCCCATTTCCCAATCTGAGCACTCCAGGCATCTTGGAGCAGATAATCCTTTGGTGCAGGGTGGGGCATTCCATGACTTGAAGAATAGTTAGTGCTGTCCCTAGCCACTGCCCCTCTACTAGATGCCAATGGTCTCCTCCCTCTTCCCTCCCCACATTGTGTCTTCACGGAGAGGCAGGAGTGAAATCACCCTGACTAAGGGAAGGAACAGGGCACAGATGCTTCCAAGTAGCAGGTGGCCTGTAGCTCAAGGCCCAGATATGCTCTAGTTATGTGACAGCTAGTAGCCTGCTAAATTCTCTAATCTCAGACCCCTTATCTGCAATCCCAGGCTTTGTGAGTATGTAATGGGTGACGTGTAATACCTGTAGCCCCACCCCAAATGAGGCTATTGTTTAGGGAGGACTGCATGATACAGCATGTAAGCAATGGAGCTGTGTGCATTTTGAGCCACTGAAGCCCAGATGAAATGGTTTGGTTCACTTAGCACTATTTGCCTTGGGATAGAAAGGGGCAATCTGAGAAATTAGGGGCAGCAGGGAAAAGCCAGCTAGGAACAGAATTTGAGGTGAAGTATATTCATGCACTGGCTGTCTTACTTAGGGGCTTTTGGTTTCTTAGGGGCAAATGACCAGGTATGGCTCATGAGGTAAGGTCCCCAGAGGAAACACATCACTAGAATTCAATCAGAAAACAGGACCTGGCCATAGGGTACCACTGGGGACACAGCCAGCACTGGACTAACTTTAAGCACAGGATCTGGAGTGGTTGTGGGGCTTCCCGGGACCCCATAAAACTGTCCCACCACCACAGACACCTCACCATGTCAAACCTCCGGGCCAGCTCCAGGTCATCCTCATTCCGGACCATCTCAAAGAAGTCTAAATGCCTAGACAGACGGGAGATAGATGGGGGTGCAGAGAAAGTGTTAATAAAGCGAGAACATCCCCAGTGCAGGATTTCAGCCCCTCAATATCCCATTGACTATCTGAAAGTTTTATTCAGGTGAGGTTAAGGAAAGACCAGAAAGATGCCAAACAATATATGCCAACCCCCAATTCCTTGATAAGATTTAATGGTCTTCTTTTAGGGTGGTCATGCCAAGGTCCAGTCACCACAGATCTACACTTTTCCACTTGGACATTGTTGACTTGTTAGGTACGGTTGTCCTTGGTGATTCGAAGAAGCTGCGTTGTGTGCTCCAGGTTATTTTTCTTATCCCTGACATTTACCCATAAGATAACGGTAGTGCTCTCCCAGACATGGTTGAAAACCAAAGGACACCCCCACCTATTTCTGAATGTCGCTGAGAGGATTGTCCACCCTGATTGAGGACCACTGAGCTCATCTATCTGTAATGTCAGGGAGGAGATAAGCAGGCCAGCACGGGTTCACCTGTTGCACACAGTGCTGATTCTGAGTTGAGACTTCCTATGGCAGTTGGTCCCCAGGGGAAGAACAGTCTTCTCTAAGGTCCTAGCCACCCCCACTGAGAGGAGCTGTCACCACAGGTTTATGGTGGGTCTGGGAAGCAGATGCCTTACTTGTCCAGGATGGCATTCTCATGTTGTCGGAGTTTATCTATCACTGGCTGGATCCCCAGCATCAGGAACTCATACCGGAGATGTAGGCGGAATTCGAGGTTGTCCTGAGGGTCACCAAGGGAAGACCAGACTCAGTGGCTCATCTCATGTCCAAGAGAAACACCCGTAGACTCTGTCAGCACCACCTCAGCCATAGTCCCATGCCATGTCGTGCAGCAAATTCATCGAGAACCCTTTCCAGAGACTGCCTATAACCTTGCTTTTCCCTTAAAGCCAGCCTGCCAATCAGCCCCTATTCTCCCCCACTTTACTCCCAGGTCAGTGTTTGCTCACTCTCTGGTATCAAAGAGTAGTGCTGTAAAACTACAGAGCCAGTGGGGGGATTGGCTATTTTCATGTTCCACTTTCTAGTTTGTGCCCTTGACAATGCTTTTGCTTCCTCATTCGTAAAATTGGCTTAAAATTATTTATCTGTGGGATTGGTGTGGTGGTTTGGATGATAATGACCTCCATGGGCTCATATATTTGAATGCTTGGTCCACAGTTGGTAGAACTATTTGGGAAGGATTAGGAGGTGTGGCTTTGTTGGAGAAGGTGTGTCACTGGGGGTGGACTTGAGGTTTCAAAATCCTGCACCATTCCCAGGTAGCACTCTCTGCTTGTGCTTGTGAATCATATATAAGCTCTCAGCTTCTGCTCTAGGGCTATGCTTGCCTGCCTCATGCTGTGCTCCTTCCTATGATGGTCATGGACTTACCTTCTGACAGTGTAAGCCCCAGAAAACTGTTTCTTTGGCCAGGCATCTCATCATAGCATAAAAAGGGTAACTAAGATAGAGGTTGGTACCAGGGATTGGGCTATTGCTGTGACAAGCTGAACCATGATGGTTTTTGAACTTTGTGACTTTGAACTAGAAAAGTGGTTGAATTCTGTAAGTGAATGAGGCTTAACTGGCCAGGCTAGCTGGGGACTGGAAATCAAGTGCTGTGAACAAAGTGGACCATGGAAATGAGAAAAATATTAGCAACTGGCTTAGAGATAATTCTTGTGATATTTCCTCAAAGAATGTGTGGCTGTTGCCCCTTGCCCCAAGAATCTGATAGATTGAAGAGTTTTGAACTATTTCCACTTGCAGAGGAGATTTTGAGACAGATTTTAATACTGACTATCTCTAGGTTATTAGTGATCAAGTCTCTTTCTTCTTCCCACTTGCTGATAAGGATGCAGGCTCTCAGCTATTGTTCCCACGCCATGCCTGCCTGCCTATTGCCATGCTGCCTACCATGATGGTCATGAACTCTAACCTTCTGAAACTGTAAGCCTAATAAATTCTTTCTTCTATAATTTTTCTTGGCCATGGTGTCTCATCACAGCAACAGATAAGTAATTAAGACAATTCATATTGTTAAAAATTTCCTGCTATGGTATAACTACCAACAGGTCAGGGGAAATAACAGTCTTAAAAAGCAGGTACTGACAAAGTCACATGATGTCACCATCTTAGGATTAGATTATTCCCTAGAATATCTTATATAATTCAGGTGATAAGAACTGCGAATGCATACATACATTCTCTCTCTCTCTCTTTCTCTCTCTCTCTTTCTCTCACTCTCTCTCTCTCTCTCTCTCTCTCTCTCTCTCTCTCTCTCTCTCTCTCTCTCTCTCTCTCTCTCTCTCTTTCTCTCTCTCTCACACACACACAGAGGCATTCTGGCAAGGAGGAGGAGGAAAGATTGTTAGTGGCTCTCTTAGCTTCTTTTATCCTTTGGGTTGAACTCAACTGGAGCATTGGCATGCCTTAGAATCTAAGACTTCAGCTGTTTTCAGGTTTCTCTAATATTACTGTTGTAATATTATATAGTAATTAGACTGGAAATCCCATTCTGTCCCCAGAAGGAGAGAACCAGCAGCCACCCTTCCTAACCCTCATAGGCCTTTGGTTGAGTGAAGCTAGACTCATGGAGGCTTTCCTTCCATTGCCCCAAGTAAAGGAGGTAAGAAGTTCTAAAGATATTTGAAGATGACAATGGCAGCAGTGGTCACACCAACCAGTTGTCTCCATCCTTCTCTCTATCATTTGTCTAGAAAGCTCTCAAACTCACATACTACCTGAGGGCCAAGAGTAAAAGGAAGGGGCCTCACCTCTCCAGCCCCAGCATTGAGGACAGCATTGATGAAGGACATGATGGCTGTCTTTAGGTTTACCTCATCCCGGTACCGACCCAAACTTCGATCCAGCTCATTCAGCAGTGTCTAATGGGAAGACAGGAACAGTTGGGAAGAAGATTCAGAATGCTACCAGAGAACCCTGTTCTATTGCTCTGCCTGGTCATGCCTCCCCAACTTATGGGGTCCACCCCAGTTCTTCACACCCCTGGCTTCCTGCTCAGCCCTCAGGGCTTTGGGTTCCCCTGCTGCTCTCTGACTCTGCACCAGCCATTGTCAGTCCCTGGCCATTCTTACATAGTTCCCCAACCTCATGGATGCTACTTGTAATCTGCATTCTCAGGCTGGTCCAGTGTCTGCAAACTTGGCACTCACCCAGTCCTAAAATCTTGACCCCAGCAACTGTACTCAATTCAACATTTCTTGTCTGGGCTCCTATCATGAGGCAGGTGCTGATCTCAAATAGCTAGAGCCACAAAAACATGAAATAAACCAGTATTTCAGCCTCAATGATCCACAGTCTAGTAAGAGGACAAATCTATGTTGAAAGCCAGACCACAGCTCCAAACATATCATTTCTTATGTCTTTTGAGAGAAGCCGTCTGGGTCCTAGATCTTCCTTCCTTCCATGCGTGGACACACAGTCTACAAGACACCCCTTCCCTTCACGTTCCTTTATATGGTTCCCAGTCTCTCAGCTTTACCCCATGTCACCCCATCCATCCCCAGCTCATGGCCCAACCCTCCAACCCATTGCCCACCTGGAAACGAGTGCGCTCGGCTGCATACACCTGGTAGTGTAGCATGGCCTGGAGAACCTTCTTGTGGCCTCCGGGCACAAGGCACACTGCACCCAGGATTTCCAGTACTGCCACCTTAGTCTTGCTGTTCTCCGTGCGCAGGCTCTGTGCAATGGTACTGATGGCCTCGGGCTGTGCCAGAACATGTGCCCGTCCCTGGGAGTTGTTCATCAGAGCCTTGATGCAGCCAATGAGAGAGGTGTGGATTCGGCTCTCACACGTGGCATGGTCCATGCTCCGGAGGAAATTCAGCAGACAGGTCAAGCCTTCCAGCTCGATGAAGCGGGTCACAAACCTAAGCCAAAGCCCCCAAAAAACTTACTGTTTTTGTCTTCCACACACATCTTGCAAATAGCTACTCATATGCACACCATTCACCATGCCCTAGCCACAGCAGCCTCCTGGCTCATTCACGAGTTTATCCATAGGCCCCAAATCTCATCCTTTCAGAAGACTCAGTTAAAAATTCTTTAAATCAAAACTTACATTTATTTATTTATTTATTTATTTATTTATTTTTGTGTGTATGTGTGTATAAACACCTATGTGTGCAGGTGTCTAAAGAGGCCAGAAGAGGCACTGGATCCCTGGATGTGGAATTAAAGGCAGTTGTAAGCCATCCAATGTGGGTGCTAGGGGAAGAGCTTTGGTCTTCTGGAAGAGCAGGAAGTGCTCTTAACTGCAGAGCATCTCTCAAGTCCCAGAGTGTTGGGAACGCAATATGGAGGTCCTTGTACTCACAGGTCTCCAGGGAAACCAGGAGTGTTAAGCACACAGGATTGTCCTCTTAAAGGAAAGGATGTAAAATCCTTCATCCAGAAAGTTAGGGATTGGAGGTGACTGACAGCCTGGTGGTCTTCTTATCTTGTGATCATGCCATATCAAACTATTGCAGCCAGAACCAGAGGTGGCTAGTCATCTAAATGACCCTCATAGCCAGGGGCTCCCCAAGCTCCCACGGTCAGCACCAGAGGTGGCTAGTAGCCCATATGACCTCTATAATATCTGTATGACCAAGACCAGGCCAGACCCTTCCCTAGCACAGGGAGCCTATCTCTAGAACACATCTTGGAGGAAATGACATGTACTCTGAGTTGAGTTTCAATGCAATTACAATTCTTAGTGCATCAGGGAAACTTCTTTTCCAAATTCTACTCTGTTTAAATTTATTAGGAATAAACTTCTTGGCATCAGATTCTCCTGAAGTTTTAATCCAGGTTGACAGAAGTCATTCTGAATTGAGTTTTCATTCTTATTTCTTGCAGTTTTTTTTCACCCTTTGTGTCTACAGACCCCCTCACACACACACACCAAACTTCTTACATTTTATTTTTTACTGTGTGTGTGTGTGTGTGTGTGTGTGTGTGTGTGTGTGCGCGCGCGCGCGTGCATGCTCTGTGTATGTGTGTGTGTGCATATGGATGAGATGTTAATTGCAGGTGTCCTCCTCTATTGCTCTCTCCCCTGTTTTCTGAGACAGGCTCTCTCAGTGAACCTGGACCTTGTCAATTCAGTTATTCTGGCTGGCCAGCAAGCTCCAGGGCATCGATTACCTCTGCCTCTCAGCACCACGATCACAGATATGTGGCTTTTAAATGGGTGCTGGAGATCTGACCTCAGGTCCTCATGCTGGTACAGCAAGGACTTCACCCACTGAGCAATTTCCCTGGCCCTCATACTTCCATTTGAAATACTGTGTACTGTGGTGGTATCCCACCAAAAGGCTCATGTATTGAAAGTTCTCCCCCAACTGCTAAGCTAGTTTGGGAGGTTCTAGAAACTTTAGGAGATGGGGGTAGCTGAAAGAAGTGTCACTTGAGTTATTGTGTTTCTGCTTCCATACTCTCTTTTCTTCCTTGTCCCCTGTGAGGGGAACAGCCTCTGCCATGCACTCCTGTAACCATAGAGTTCTCCTTAGCACAGGCCAGAGCCAAAGCTGAGTAACCATAGACTGAACCTTCTGAAACTCCTTTTTCCCTTCAGTTGCATTTTTGTCTCAGTGATAGCAAGATAATTCACGCCCTAAATCTGCATATCACTGACTGTCATTTGCATAGCTAAGAGGGGGGCATGGGCAAAGTCATGATTATAATTAGTATAGTGGGTCAACCTGAAGACTCATCTCTAACCAGAATGGCTTTGGGAGAAATTTAGACAGGTGACCAGAAAACACTTCAGCATGGGGAGACCATTATACTCAGATCAGGGGACCAAGGCTGGGAAGCTCCATTTCAGGAGACCCTGAAAAACAGCACTTCCCTGATGCTTAACATACAGCCATTTAGCCTAGCCACTCTTAATCTGGAGTCTGTATTCCTATAAAGAGCCTACGGGAAGCACTCACTCAGAGTCCAAAGACCTCTATGGGAAAAGAGAATTACACTTTTATCTTGGATAACCTCTAAGTGAAAACTAGCATTCCTTCAATAACAAATGTAGGATACCAACCACAGAACTGCCAGTGGAATCAGAGACTTTGTCACCTCAAATAAATCGCCGCTATTTTCATATCAAATTAGAGCTGTTGCAGATATCTCAAAATATCACTTTCACCTATTGGTTCTTCAGTATTACAGTGCTCACCGCACCCGCCTGCTGCCAGTTCTCACTGCTCAGGCATTAAAAGGCACATTTATTGCTATCACCTGCATTTTTTAATATTTGTGAGCCTTTTTTAATTGAATTGCTTTATTCTTCAACTCTGTTTGTGTATTTTATGCTGTTATTTAAAACCATTACTTCAGGAAGCAAGATTTTAGCTTTTATCTATGTATCTATATGTGAGACAGCTATGGCAATGCATAAAAAATTAATGGTAGAGACCTTCCTTAATTTAGTAGCATAATTAAGGATCTGAGAAAATGGTCATGAATTGAGTTCAGAACCAATATTTATAGTTAATATGTAAATGTATCTCTATGAATTTTGTGTTGTGTAAATATCAACCGAGTATGTTCTCAATTGAAGTTAGCAATATATATTTTTCCTGATTTTATGCTTTTCTGTATTGCACAGTTCTACAATGATGTCATGTGATTCCTAAAATCAGAATTTTACTAAGGGGAATTAAAACGAATATTTGATTATATACTATCTTCATCACGGATCATGGACATAAAGCCAAGTACATGCCTAATAGAAAGACCATACATAATAGCAAACTGTAGAAAAATAGTTGGGTAATTAGTGTTGTATACCAATATTATTTTGGATATCATTTATTTAATCTGTAGTTGATATAATTTAAAATATAATCGCAAATGGGTCTAATAACTCATTTGCAAGATTGCTGAGTATTTAACAGTAGGTTTAGAAGCCACTGGAGGCACACCACTGGGAAGAGTCAAAAGCAACAAACTATTGTGGTTCTTGGCTGCCTCAGGATCTTCACTGTGGTCTAGGAGGCGGGAGAAGTATTCTGTGACCTTTGGACACCCATCCTTCCCCTTTCCTTCCTGCTTGGCTCCCACTCTAGATGGCTAGAGCACACCCTTAGACTCCACACTGCCCCCTAGTGTGAGGAGGATTTCTCAACCCACGCCCTCCTCCTTCCTCAGAAAGTCCTTTATTATACAACGCCTGCCCTCAATTCCTCTTTTCAGAATGTCTCAGGACCCAAGGTTTGTCCACTTCCCCACATCATTTCCCCTCCTACCCACAACCTCCCAGCAACCCACGAGAAAAACGGGAACTGGAAGCAAAGAAGATAAAAGTAGATCTTATGAAATTCTGCATGTAACCTTGGCCAATAGGGCCAACCTACAGCAGAGCACTATGCAAGGCTTCAGAATGACAGAGCCACTGGGAAGAGGCATAGAAGGAAGAAAGTGATTGAGAGGGTGCAATCAAAGTCACCTCATGGGCTGTGTCCGGAGGGCTGTCTTCAGGTCTTCTACAACTTGGTTCCTTGTGTCTGTCTCCTTTTCATCAAATTCATACAGGTTCTGCATCTGAGGCCCACAGGCAAAGCAAGTAGAAGTCATACTGAGCTGTTTGCCTTCCCCTGAGAGGCTTCTGCACTCGCAGGGTAGCTGTGCCCGTGGAGCACACCCTTGCCTTGGGAAGGGCAAGGGCTCAGAGGATGCTTTACTACTATGAGAGACAGACTCTGAGAGGACCAGGATCTGGCCTGTGACTTAATTTCCCATAAGTAGGAAATAGAGGGAATTACTGGCCCAGGCTATTTCCCAAGATTTATGATGCCCAACTGGGCTAATAAGTATTTAACTCATTGAGAGGACTCCAATGTGCAAGGAGGTGGGTTGTGTAAGATCCGAGAATCACTGGAAAGCTGCTGAGCCTTACAGGGCATGGCACTGGAGGGCAGGGAAGGCGGTTTGGTGTCAGGGGGGTATCGCTGGCTTCCTATACCTGGCTCTGTGGGGCAAGGCAAGAGAAGAATAGACACATACCGAAGCCATGGAGTTGATACGTTCAATGTAATAGTCAGGCCAGCTGGTTGCCAGCTTGTTGGGGTCCTCCTGCTCCTGGAACATGAGAGACAGACTCAGGTGTGTCCAACCATGGCCCACGGGACACATGTATCCCAGGGTAGCTACAAATGTGGCCCAACACATTAGTGGTGACAGTGTTGTGCCACAATGTCAAAGGTTGGTACTTCTGGATGGACAGCCCCATAGGCTAAGACTGAAGCATCACTTGAAGTCTGTAGAGGGATCAGTTCCTACCCACAGGGGAAGTCTGTGGAAGCTGCAGATCCTCCATAGGTTTCTGTTTCTTCCTTGGTGAAATATTGACAATGAACACAGATTTGTGTGACTCCCAAGGGAGTGCAGAAAACTGGGTAGGGGTCATTTTCAATGAACCACATGTGCAAAAAAGCATATTTTCCTGCTATTTCTGTTTTGCTTATAGTTAATAAATACCATTTATTTATTTGTTTACCATTTGAGCCTCACACAATTTAATATTTTTATGCCTTCCTTTTGTGTGTATGGATGTGCATGTTTGTGCAGGTGCATACATATGTGTGCACATACATGTGTGCACACATGGAGAGGAAGACCTGGGCATAACCCTGATGTTGTACCTGGCCCTGGCCACCTTGTTTTTGACACAGGGTCTCCCACTTGTCCAGAGTTCTTTAAGTAGTTTAGGATGGATAGCCAGCAAGCCCCAAGGGGCCCACTCTCTCTGCCTCCCCACCACCAGGATTATAAATGTGCTGACCACCACACTTGGATTTTTGTTAAACGTATACTCTGTGGCTCAAACTCAGCTCCCTATGCTTGTTCACCTTATCGGTGGACTCCCTCTCCATCCTGCTTGCTTTAGATAAAAATTGCCTTACTGACTGAACTTTCTTCCCAGACCACACTTGGTTTTTCTTTACAGTTTGCTCTCACAATTCTAGTGTGTAACTAACACTGTCTCTTGAATGAATTAAGGAAAAGAAGGAAGGAAGGAAGGAAGGAAGGAAGGAAGGAAGGAAGGAAGGAAGGAAGGAAAAATGATTAATTATCAGAGCTGCCACTGCCTGCTGGGATCCCTGAGGAGGGCAGAGGGCTGGGGAGCACCTTCTTCTTGCTGCAGTAGATCTGCCATTTCTTCTCGGGTGGCAGTGCAAACACAGCCTCTCGGTTTTTGTCTGTGAGGTCCAATTCATCCTACAAAGAGGAGAGGAATCATGCCTGAGTATGAAGCTCTACCGGAGATCAGAACATCCCAAACTACTCCACAGCCTATGTTCCTCCTCCCAGAAGCTTACACACACCAAAGGCATTTCTTGTTCTATGAGAAGCAGAGCCTCAAGCCTCTACCTCCTCAACCAAGCCCAGTTTTTTCTACCCAGTGCTCCTTTGCTTCCTGCCCACACCTCCTGTCTTTGTAAATCCCCTTGCGGCTCCAGGCCACCCTGTTTCCACCTTTCCAGCCTTTGCTTTGCTGTTCCCTCATCCAGTGCATGGCTCTTTGTCTTCACAGTCTGCTAACACCCTAGGTTAAGACCTGATAAAAAGAGGTCCCATGCCATTAGACAGCCTTACCTCTTTCTCAGATCTTTCCATCCCACTGCCTACCTATTGAGTCTCTCCTCTGAATTGTCCTGGATCTTTCAAGCTAAGCATGGGCTGGAATAGCTGAGCCAGAGAGATGAGGGCCAGAGTCTGAGCAGGGGGAATGGGACACCATCCTGAAGAAGGCATTGACATTGATCTGCAACCCTTCCACCTTCAGGACACCAGGTGAGGCTGTGCAAGGCTCAGGGCTATACCACCTGAGAGGCAAGCCTCTGAGGTTGTCATATTTTGGGGTCATTCTCTTGGATAATGGGTTTGGCTGTGCTGGGTGTCTTCTAAAGAGCCATTTTGTCTTTTGTTTTGTTCTCTCTCTCTCTCTCTCTCTCTCTCTCTCTCTCTCTCTCTCTCTCTCTCTCTCTCTCTCTCTCTCTCTCTGTGTGTGTGTGTGTGTGTAATGAGTACATCTACTAATGGAGGCCAGAAGAGAGTATCAGATCCTCTGGAGCTGAACTAACAGGCAGTTGTAAACCACTCAGTGTGGTACTGGGAACCAAACTTGGCTCCTCAGTACACTCTTAAACTCTGAGCTATCTTTACAGCCCTAGAGCTTTAGGGAGAACATTTAAGATTTCTCCTTCCCTAGGTCAGAACTGTTAAGTAGAAATATAATGGGAGCAGCATATTTTAAAATGTTCTAGTCACACTAAAAAAAATTAAAGAGGAAAAAATAGATGAAGTTAATTTTAATGTTACATTTTATTTCAACTAATATACCTAAAATATGACCATTTCAATGTGTAATAAATGTAAAAAATATCAGTAATATATTTTACATTTTTGCTTTTCTTTTTCTATTTTTTCTCCTTTTGAGATAGGTTCTCTTGTAGCTCAGACTGGTCTGGAATTCACTATGTAGCCAGGATGACTTTGAACTCCCCATCCTCCTGCCACTGGGCGCATATACCACATGCTTTAAGATAATGCAAATCAGCTTGCCTGCTGTCGAAATTAAACCAGTCTACAGATTTTGTGACAAGGAGACACACTTTTATCGACCTGTTCTCTGCACAGCCCAGGAGATGGTCTTCTTAGATCTTAGGTAGGAACCACCCACCTCTGCCTCCGTATCTCTAGTATTCATCTCCCTGTTCCAAGGCTCTCAGGATCCCCTGGAGAACCCCACTTTCTGCTTACTTCAGAAATTAAAGGCTCCTATAGAAATCCCAGAAAGCAACTGAGAGAGAGAGAGAGATCAAGAGTTCTCAATGTCTCTTTTCACGATGTGACCCCTTCTAATGGCAGCTAGGCTGGTCTAGCACCAGATGGTCCAGAACCAAAAGGAAATGGAGGCAGATACTTTGTCCTGGGGACCATTTTATAGTCCATGTCATGGTGTCTGCCTCAGTGAGGGTCTGTTTTCTCTTCAGGGAAGGTGCTTTAGGAAGCACTGCCTTACCCCTGAAAAGAGCTTTGTGGAGCAGAGAACTCAGTACACAGACTCCTGGCCTCTGCCCTTCTCTGCTATCTATCAACCCATTTCCCCCATCATCAGAGCCCTCTCAACCCTTCCCAAACTGACCACCAGCTCTGCAAAGCGGACATTGAGTTCCTCTGGGTTTGGGATGGGACCGGAAAAGTCCAGATAATGCAATGAATGGCTGTCCCGGAGGTCGATCTCTGGGAGGTCACTGCCTCCAAAGCAGCAAAGGAAGCCCAGGCCATGGTGACTCCTCTTGCTGAAAGCCATGGTCACTGCAGGCTGGGATGGTCAGCAGGCAGGTGTGTTAGGTCCTCATTGGCACAATCTAGGTAACAGGACAGAGAGAGCAGGTGGTCATGAGAAAGAGCCATACAGGTAGAAACAGAGGCCACTCTGCCTTCAGAACCCTTGTCACAGAGACTGTTGGGGCCCATTAGCTCAATATCAAAGACCTGTCCCTTCTCTCAAAGACTCTCTGCTTCTTCCAGCCCCCTTCACCTGAACTTATTCAGCTGACTTCACCAGACTAGCAGTCATGAACATTTCCCCATTTCCTTTCTTTGTCCCTAGAGAAGTGAAGGGGATGGAAGTCACAACACGTGACCTCCAGGTGGTCAGAACTGGTGCTTAGCTGATGTTTTCCATACCTGTGATGAGAATATCCTAGGAGTTCGCTGGCCACTGGAGGGTCAACGTATACCAAAGCTCATTGGTCTGATCATTTCAGGATCAGACAAAGATGGTTTTAAAGGTAATGGGAGGGGAGGGCAGAAGTCAGCTGTTAGAAAAACTCTGAGCTAATTAGAGGCCACAGCTCCTGATGCATAGGCCTCCAGAGAAGTCGAAGATGGAAAGATTCCTCCTCAGCTCTTGCTCACTCTCTTGTACTTAGACATGCTTCAAGTAGCCCAAAATATCCATAAGGCAATGGCTCACTCGTCCGTCTTGAAGGAGGCCAGTGCCCTCCTCCACATGAGGAGAGCTGGAGATTAAACCCCAAGTCAGATGAGGCTGCCTTTGGTGCTGAACATATTTGGGAAAATCTGATCCCATGTGCTTTTCATACCTACCAAGGACAGAGAACACTGTGCTGACCAGGAACTGGGACTGATTGACAGGTTGGAACAGGAAGGGTTAACTCATTGACCTGCTACTTGGGAAATCTCACTCAGTGGTGCCAGCTGGAGGAGGAAGCCCCCACCATAGTTGCCATGGCTGCCCCTGGATTGCTTAGTTAAGCCATCTGCACACAGACCTCTTCAGGGCATAGCCATGTTCCACCTCTGGTTCCTAGCACACATCAGATGACCAGAGTGGATCTAATAAGTGGATCTAACAAGATTCACAAACTCTGGCTTGCCCATCTCATCTCCTTACCACCTTACACACAGAGCTCCATTTTCTAAATATACATAGAGGATTTATCTGTTTGTTTGCTCTCTCTCTCTCTCTCTCTCTCTCTCTCTCTCTCTCTCTCTCTCTCTCTCTGTGTGTGTGTGTGTGTGTGTGTGTGTGTGTGTGTGTGTGCTTTTTTGCTCAAGTACATGCTAGTACCATGATGCACACGTAGAAGTCAGTGCAAACTGTGTGGGAGTCAGTTCTCTCCTTCCACCATGTGTATTCCAAGGATGAAACTCAGATTGCCAGGTGTGGTGGCAATCACCTTTCCCTGGTAAGCCATCTTGTCAATCTTTGTTTAATTTGGTTGAGTTACTTTTGAGTCTTGGTACTTAGCTGTCTCTCCTTGTTCTGGATTATTAACACATGAAGATGTATCCACAGTTGTCACTACATCATTACTGAAAATGCTGAAATAAACAAACTTGTAAATCCCAATGAGCTAATAGCCAGATCTTTCAGTGCCTGTGCATTCATCATCCACGCCTGGGGGCATGATCCATCGGTGAGCTCTACACCCATGTGTCTCTTCATCCATGTGACTCTTCATCCATGTGACTCTGCATTGTCAGCCTTTTTCCTATACAGCGATGTTTTCACTTGAGCCCTGTGAACTTGTTGTACCAACTCTGAAGCAGCCCTTTGAACCAAGCTCTAGAATCTTACAGAGAAATTAAAAAGGTAAACACGGCACTTGTGAACCCTGGAGCCTTCCAGAGAAGAGCACCTTACCCTTGGACTCCTAACAATTTAGTTAGTAGCTGTGAAACTTTGTCAACTCTCATTTAAATTACAACCCATTTTAATTGCCATTCTAAAGCCTTTTTAGTGACCCCATTTTTATCTTTCTTTATAAATCTTGCAGTAGGCTTTTTAATAGGTTTGGGCCAGCCTTCAATAAAACAGTCTAAAAGAGCCATGTGATGCTGGCTTCTTTCTTGATTGAGCACTGGCCCTCATACATATTTGAGGCACCTTAAAGACAGCGGCTGCATCCCCTGCCTTCAGGTGACCTTCATTTCTATAGGTAATAAAAGACTTGTACTCTATGGTGCTCAAACCATAGGTCTGTTAACTTAGAAACCATCTATGTTCTCAGAAATCAGGGATGGAGGCTTTTTGTTAGGCAGCCAGGAAATACCAATTGGAACCGTTCACTACTAGCAGTTGACAAACAATCCAGAACCTTTTTTAAGGAGTAAGAGGAGAGTTCTAGGGCTGGGATGGGAGTCACTATTCTGGGCCACAGTGGCACAGACTTCAGATGCTCCAGGAGGAATACCTGGGGTTTCCCATGGGATATGGCAGCTGGTGACCAAGATGGGTGGTGTTTGTCATTCTGTCACAGTTGGGACCAAATCCCTGACAGAGCCACTTAAGGATGTTTGCCAGTATAGTCCCTCCTGGTGGGAAGGATGTGGATGCAGGAGTGCCTGGCAGTGGTTATATCACATCTGGAATAAGATGGAGGAGGGAGCTAACATCCAGCCTGTTTTCCTCTTTTTATGCAGTCTGGGACTAGAGCCTATGGAGCAGACCCCACCTCAACCAGCCTAATCTAGAGTCCCTCACAGACAAGCCCATAAAGTGGCCTCTGGTAGTTCTAGACTATGTCAAGCTGACATAGTGTTAACCATCATCAAGCTGACAGTTGATGTTAACCACCAGAGTGGCTGGGCCAAGGCCCTAGTACTTGAGTGCCAGGCTCAGAATCTGAAGGCAGATGGGCAATCAGGTTACAAAGCTAGTCTCCTTTGTTTCATTAGCCTTGTGAATTCCAATGATCTGGTGAGCAAGACATCTCTGGAGTGCAGAGTACATGAAGAAGCTTCCAGAGGCTGAGGTGATGAGGCTAGGCTAGCAGGATGGTGGAACTCCAGGAGAGTCAGACTGAAGCCTAGGAGGACACATGGCCCCCCCTCCTTGCCTTCACTCCCTCACCCTCCTGTACCCTGAGTCTTCCTCAGACCACTCTGCTCTTCCCCTCCTACCAGACCTTGCCAAATCAGGGATATGAGCCAGGATGACCCAAGCTGGAACAAGTTTATGCCAGCTGTTCATGCCACTATTGCTCTGGTTGGTCAGTGTCCTTGCGATACCCATTATCATGTGTGACATTTCCTTCAATGTGGAGAGCTAGACACAGTGACTGCTTTCTTAGCTCCAGACACTTGTTGGCAGAACCAGGAGCAGAGGTCTGGAAGCCAGGTGATGTGGACTTTGACCCCTGGCTTTGCCTATCTGGCTGGTGGTGACCTTAAGGATATCTCCTAGCTAGGAACTCAGGTGCCTCATCTGATATACTGACATAATCACCGTGTCTTCCCCAAGGTATTCTATGAGGAGCAAACAAAGCCATGAACATAAAATGACAGGGGCACCTGGGTGCTCAGTAGCTGGAGACTAACACAGCTGCTGGGCTATGGTCTCAGGGTTACCACAGATGAGACTGGCCCTGCCCAGAAGCACATTTCCTTCAATGGGATGTTTAGGCCCAACCTTATAAGAATTGCCTACTGGAATTCAGAAGTCACCCAGCTTTAGCTTCAGAAACTGAGAAATTAAGACAGAGGAACTGGCCTTTTCCTGCATTCCAAACTCACTCTAGTTAGAAAAGTAAATGAAGGGATGATGGGGTTTGAGGTGACAGCTAGGCTAGGTGTCCTGATTTGATCAGGATATAAAATGGGCATGTATTGACACTTGATTGTGCATTGATCAAAACCAGGGATGGAGTCTGGGGAGATGGCTTACTTGGTAGAGTTTTTGCCTTGCCAGCATGAGGACCTGACTTCAGTCCCCAGGCTCCATGGAAAAAAATGTCAGACATAGCTGTTTGTATGATCCCAGAGCTGGGGACAAGGAGACAGGAGGACCATTAGGGCTTTCCAGTTTGCTGGCTAGTCAGCTTATCCTACTCAGTAAGTTCCGCACCAGTGAAAGACTATATGTCAAAAAAGATAGGAAGGCAGATGAGCAATACCTGAGGTGTCTTCTGTGTGTATGCAAGTGCATGTGTGCACATAAACACACACACACTCACACATACAAACAAACAAACACACACACACACACACACACACACACACACACACCACAAATAGAGCTCAGTGGTAGAATGCTTGCCTAGCATGCATGAGACTCTAGGTTCAATTCCCAACATTGCAACTCAAATCAATCAATCAATCAATCAATCAATCAATCAATCAATCGAAATTTAAAAAGAAAAAGAAAGCAAAGTAGAAGGTGGTGACTGGCTGTGGGCAGGAGGTGGGAAAGTGAGGTGGCCTGAACAATGTGTTATTGTAAAGCCCCTTTAAGAAGAGGAGCAGAATTGAGAAGCCACAGGGGACAGCATGAAGCAAGAACAGAAGGAAGCCCAGCAGACTTGAGCCCAGGCCAAAGGGACTGAACCTGCCTCCAGTGTGACCCACTTTTCTCTCCATGGAGGCCTCCCCAGTGCTGCAGCCTCTTGCCCCCCCACATCCTTCCCCCTTCCCATGAGGGCACAAAGCCATGGGGTCAACACCTTCCATGAACTGCAAGCCCCTCCCCCCAAAGAAACAAATCTCTTCCGGACCTCCCCCTCACTGCTGCTGGTCCCAGCTGGTCACTATGCTTGTGGGTCAGTGGTCATGATGTTTCATAGTGCTCCTCTCTCTGAGACCTAGCCTGCTTCAAGTAACAGCAGTCTCTGACTGCAGATCTCCAAGGACTCTCCCATCCTTAACTTTTGTCACTATCTGGCTCGATCCCTTCTCAAAGGTTTCCCAAGGGCTCCACTATTCTGAGCATCCCAGCTCCCTGCATTCCACCCTAAGCCAGGCAGGAAGGACTTCCTATCTCTTGAATCTGTTCCCATTTGGTGT